AAGGTATTAATTCTCTGGGCTTTCAGTCTGAAACCATCAAGGACCCACTATGTAGTGGTGCAAAACTACCTTGGCATTTGGAGGGAATAGTGATGACTTAGAAAAGCTAAGATAAGACCTCTTCTCAAGGATGCAGTCCTGTAACTCATCACCTGTTGATCTGAGAATAGGACTATGTGACTCCAGAGGGAAGACTCGTAGGTAAAAAGCTACAGGAAAGTAGATGTTATCTTTTTCATTTAATAAACATTTATTGCTCACTTTCCATGTATCATGTACTGTGTTGGGTCCTTGGGACCTAATCATAAATTATAATTCTCATTTCTGAGGAACTTCTAGTTTACTGTGTGTTGTGGGAGACAAATAAATAAATATTTGCATTGGGTTATGATAAGCACTGAAAAAGAGACATTGTAGGATAGTTTGGAAGCATATGAAACAGTTATCTAACTTATTGGGGAAGGCTTCCTGGAAGAGGTGCTATCTAAAAAGAACAATTATGCCAAAGAGGGGAGGAAGAAGGGGGAGAAAGCATAGTTTATACAAAACTGTGGTGTTAGAGCAGTGTGTGTGGCTGGACTCCAGAACTGAAATGGGAGGTGTGTGAGAGAAGAGTCTGAAGAAGTTAGAAAGGGCCAGGTTATGAAGGAGCTGGCATGCCATGTAAGGGATTTGAACTTTATTTTGAGGGCAATGGAAAGTCATTGAAGGTTTCTTCTATCACCCCCCCCATTTAAAAATACAGTTTGTTTGTTTGTTTGTTTGTTTACATTTCAGGTGTACAGCATGATAATTCAACATTTGTATACACTACAAAGTCATGACCACCATCCGTCACCATACATTTGACCCATCCTATTGAAGGGTTTTTTTTGTTTGTTTATTTATTTGGTTTTTAAACTCAGGAAAGTGACTTTATGAGTTAGGAAACTGTTACGGTGGTTTGGAAGAAAGCCCATGAGGAAGATTTGGAGCAATTACAAGGTGTTGAGGGTGTCCGGAGTGATTTTGGCGGGGGGGTATCTATGCATTCATTAGGGGGCTGATCTCCGCGATATCTAATACCCAAGTCAGAAATTCCTAACAACAAAGTCCTAATGTATATAGCATAGGGGACTACATTCAACATCTTGTAATAACCTATAATGAAAAAGAATATATATGTGTATATATGTATATATGTATAACTGAATCACTATGCTATACACCAGAAATTAACCCAACGTTGTAAATCATCTATACTTCAATAAATAACAAATTCCACGATTATGTGACAAGGGCTTTTGCAGAGACATGTCACTAAAAAAAGCTTCAAAGCAGAGGAGGAGGATATAGAGGACCCCTAACGGAACTCAGTGGATGTGTGTCTTTTTATGTGTGTGTAGTTGTTACATTAGCTCTTGTGGCAAAAGAGCTACATTAAGTCCCTAATGTCCAGAAGAAGTAAATTCTTCTCTCTTTTGCCTTGAGTTCATACTCAGGCCTCTCCCTATCTCTCCATAACACTAAGGCATGCTTCCTAGAGAAGTGGGAGCACCTTTTGGGAATAGTATGGATATTTTTCATAAAAAAAAACTTTGCCAGCCACTATCTAAAAATGGTTCTTGATGGAAATAGGTACACAAATGCATTCTACTTTAATGACTTTTGACAAGACATTTAAATTGTTGCATTGTATTCAAACCCTATTAAAATGGAAGCCTCTTGTTACAATGCACAGAACTGGTACTCTTGGTTATTTACAGATTTAAAAAATCTATTTATATAAAGCTAATATTTGATATTTATCTACGTCCAGCGTATTGCTGGAGGTAAAGATATGCAATAGAGATATCTAGTGATTTCTAAAGAAAGAATCTTGAGAAGCCAAGTCTCTGTGTGGGTCACAGTGTGCCTGTTTTTATCTCCCTAAGGGATGCAACATAAAACCTCACTACAATTTGAGGTATTATGTGGGAAAGATATAGAGAAGCTTGTGTATCAGCTAGGATTCCAGCAAAAAAAAAAATGGGACATATACACAACTTGGATTCTGAATAACATTTAATGAAAGTCTATTTACAGAGGTGTAGGCAGTGTTAAGGGAACCAAGAAGAGATGGTGAGCTACCCAGTGACTAACAGCAGTGGAAAACTCTCACCCTTAGGCCAGGGAGAGCTGGGATCTGCAGAAGGGGTTAAGGAGCACAAGGCAGGAGCTGGAGTCACAAAGGAACTCCTGCTACTGTAGCTATGGGGCCGAGCAGGGAGTTCAATGGATTTGGGAAGGTGGGGCAAAAGGAGAATAACCAATACATCTGTAAATCACTTCTCTGGGAAAGTGGTTTTTCACACCCCAGGCAGCATTGCAAAGGGAAGCATGTGTGAGTTAACACTGGAGTCCAGCTTAATTGGTAGTTTGGAAATCTACAAACGCTGTCCTTCCCTATAGTCTTAACCCAGGAATCTTGAGGTCCAAGCTACACTGCTGCTGAGTATGGTAGATCTCCTTGGTTAGGTTTCCCAGGAAGCATGTCCACCGTATACTTGTCACCAAAAGCCAGACCATGCAAGCCAAGTCAGGCTACTGTGTTTCTTTACTGAGATATAAAACCTTCTGATGCTTATGGATCTCACAACAGCTTTTTTGCCTTCAGTAGAAAGTCGTTAAGAACAGTGGAAACATGAGTAAAAAGGGACTGGGAAGCCAGTCCCATTTCTGACTGGTTGAATGACCTTATATCCACTTTCTTTCTCTGTGACTAGGCTTTCTTATCTGTATCATAAGGGGATTGAGCTAGTGATTTTAAAGGTCTCCTTGAGGAGGGAGGGTCTAGCTCCGTGGTAGAGTGCTTGCTTAGCATGTCCTAGGTTCAATCCCCACTGCCTCCATTAAAAAAAAAAGTTTTTAAAGATCTCTTTGAGCTCTCACATTTTTGGCTTAGAGAAGAGTAATTTCCAGCATCAATGGTACTTCAGCAGTTTTCCTGTGGCCTGGACTGTTCTTTACTCTGTAGCAAAAATAAATTAAAAAGGGAGCAGGACATTTATAACCTCTCCTTTCCTTTCCCTAAATTGTCAGTTCAACATTTTGACAAGTCAGCATTTATTAAGAAATTTAAAAATTGTACAGATATTCAAATGTTCATACTACACAAAAAAGATACTAGCAAAGGTTCAACTTTATCATGCTTTTAAAAACTGACCGCTTATTTTACAGGAGTACTGATCTAATTTGAGTTGTTTGATAAATTTGTGAATGTCCCATCCTATAGGACCAGGTATCGTGAATTTTTTCTTGAAAATGGATTCTACTTGTGCTTTTATAAGTTTATTATTCTTCTGTAAACTGGATTTACATAATAATCCTTATTGAAAAGTGTACTGAGAAATGAGCATTGACTTTATTTTATTATTTTTTACACTATTATTAACTAAAGTACATACTTTATTCTGGTTTCCTTAGTTTTTTTTTAATTGAAGTATAGTTTATTTACAATGTTATGTTACTTTCAGGTGTGCAGTAAAGTGATTCAGTTATATATGTATATTTTTTCAGATTCTTTTCCATTACAGGTTATTACAAAATATTGAATATAGGTCCCTGTGCTATATGGTAGGTCCTTGTTGCTTATCTAGTTTATGTGTAGTAGTTTATTAATCCCATACTCCTAATTCATCCCTCTCCTGAGCACTAACTTTAAATAACTGAAAGACTGTCACATAAATAAGGTTTCCAGTAACTCTTGTAGATCCAGAGGATAAAACTAAGACCAGGTGTGGAAATGCAAAGAGATGAACACTCTGGACATTGCCTTACAGACTTATGGTGGCCATTAAGAATCAAGTGTCTCTGGCATAAGTGTCAGTAAGTTTAAATGATTAACCAATGCCTCATACCCCAAGTGGTTTCTGCTAATTTTATGTCACCACCCTCAGATCAAAAGGTGTAGACTGAGAGTGTGACTCAATTATTTCATAACTAAGAAGTACCTAATCTGATCCTAATTAGTCATCTCTGAACTAGGACTTTACCCTGAGTTTTTAAGCTTTCATGACAAGTTAAAAAGTCACACAGAAAAGATATTTACATAGACATTTTGATTACCATGCAAAATAAATGATGTCATTAATAATATAGATCCTTTTTTTTCCTCCAGGCATTTTTCAAGTGTAGGAAGTGTTCTATTTGTTTACATGTATTAAAGTTTAAGGGAAGATCCTGATGTAGGAAGACTTTTTTTTTTTTCTGAGCTACTTCAAAGGAAAACTAGCAAATCCTTTCTAGAGTCTTTCTGTGCTTTCCTTTTTAAAAAACATCCTCTTAACTAAAGAGAAACTAAAAGAACTGACATTTACTGAATGCCAACTCTGTAAAAGATTCTGTAGTAGGAGCTGCTCATTTTATCCTCTTAACAATCCTCTAATATTAATATATTTCTATTTTATTGGGAACGAAACCCATGGTTACAGCAAGCACTAATTTGCCTAAGACTCCATAGCTGGTAATTAGTATGTGAATCCAGCATTTCTGATGTCATTTGCCTTGCTCTTGTCATTATCTATTTGGGTTTTCCTGAGACCATATTCAGGTGTGTCATAAAGTATTTTCCCAGGTTGTTTTCCATTTTAACATTAAGGTGTGTAGATTTTTCACTTACCAGGTCCCTTGTCCTTTGAATAGATATCAATCTTTAGCCAGGGCCACCGCTAGCAAGCTCAAGATTATACACTATGGAGCTTCTGCTACCCAGGAAACCTGAAGAAAGCAATCAGGAAATCTGGGTTCTGATTCTTGACAATTGATACTTATAAAGCTACAGCTGAGTTCAAATGACACCAAGACGGCAGTGATACTTTGGAGAACTTTGGAAAACAGGTACAAGTTACATATGCACGGACAAGGGTGTTCAGCATAATGCTATTTGTAATGGCAATATTTTGAAAACAACTTTAACTGTGGTACATCAGTATGGGAATGAATTCAGTCATTAAAATTGATAAAATAGACCCATATTTATTCATGTGGTTAGTTATTCACAACATGTTAAATTTTGTGTAATGGAAAATCCTAACATAAAATAAAATGCAGTGCTATATTTAAAAAGATCATATATCCCAAATAGGCTAGGTTTATTTCAGAAATGCAAGAGTTGCTTAGCATTTTTAAAACAATGAATATAATTCACAGTAAGAGAATCAGTGAGAAACTCATATTTTATATAACTAGGCATTTGATAAAATCCATTCAAGATGTAAAAAATAAAACTGGTATAAAACTAGGAAGAAAGAAGAAATTGTTTAGTCTGATAAGAGTATATATCAAAAGCTTACAGGAAACATGTTTAACAATAAAATATTGAAAGGCTCTCCCCCAGTATACACCAGGATTGGGGATGAGACAAGGATGCCCATTAATCATTGTACCAGAGTTATTAGCCAGTGCAACAAGACAGGAAAAACAATGGTAAAATCGTGTAAGGACTGGAAAGGAAGAAACAAAACTGTCATTATTCACAGATGAGCTTGTGTATGTAGAAAATCCAAAAAATTCTATAAGCAAGTTATTGCAATTAATAAGTGAATTGTTAAGGTCATTGACTAAAGATCAAATATGCAGTTGTACTTATATGCCAGAAATAATCATAGAAAATGAACATTTAAAATATAGCATTTAAAACACCATAAAAATATCAAATACCTAGGAAAAATCAAATGAAATATATGTCAGATCAATACACAGTAAACTACAAAGGATCACCAAGAGATATTAAAAAGACCTAAATACATGGAGGTATATACCATGCACATAGTTTGGAAGACTCACTGTTTTAAAGATATAATTTTTCCAAGTTGATCTGTAAATTCCATAGCAGTCTCAATTAAAGCCATAGCAGGTGTTTCTGTGGGAATTGAAATGCTTAAAGTTTTTATTAAAAATGGAAAGGGCCAAGAATAAGACAAGAAGAATGAAGGTGGAGGACGTGCACTGCCTGATAACAAGACCTTATAAAATTATGATAATTAAGATAATAGCATGATGTTGGCACAAAATTAGATAAATGGAGCAGAATAGAGAGTTCCGGAACCAATTTGTATACATATGGTTGCTTGATTTATGACACAAGTGGGACTGCAGTGCAGCAGGGAAAGATGACCTTTTCAATAAATGGTGCTGGATTCACAGTCTATTGGGTTACAGATAGAAAAAAAGGAAATCGCACCTCCATATATCACCATGTACGAATCAATTACAGATGGGCTGCCGATCTGAAAGTGAAGATAAAACAATAAAGTTTCTAGAAAAAGATAGGATAAAATCTTACTGACTTTGGGCAAAGATTTCTTAAACAGGACACACAGACACTCTTTATAAAAGATGATGCTGTAAAATTGGACACTAACTCAAGAACTTGTGTTAATCAAAAGCATCATTAAGAGAATGAAAATAAGCTACAGATTGGGAGATGTAAAATAATATATATAACCAGAATATCTAAAGAATTCTACACATCAACAGTGACAACCCAAAAGACAAAAGGGTAAAACACTCATCAAGATACTTCACAAAAAAAGGATATCCAATGAACTTCTGAAAAGCTACTCTGCATCATCAGTCATCAGATAACTGCAAATTGAAAACAGGTGGAGACACAAATATGCATCCAATTGCATGCCTAAAATGGAAAAGACGGATAGTAACAAGTTTTGGTGAGAATGTAAAGCAACTGGGATGTCCATGAACTGCTGGTGGGAGTGTGAGCATACCCAACCACTTTGGAAGACGGTTTGACACTCTGTACTAAAGCTAACAGTCATAACATAACCCAGAAATTCCACTTTTAATTATGTACAAGAGAAATGTGAACATAAAGGCACCAAAGATATGTACAAGAACACTCTTAGCAGCGCTATTCATAATACCCAAGAATTGGAAACCTCCCAAAAGTTCATCAAGCATAGAATGAAAAAGTAACTTGTGTACTCACACAATGGACTTCTGTACCATAAGGGAGAGTGATTACTGCCACGTGCAACCACTTGGATGAGTCGTATAATAAAACACAAAGGAAGCTAGATGCAAAAAGATGTGCATACTTTATAATTTCATTTATGAAAAGTTCACAAACATGAAAGTAGTGAATGGTGAAAGAAGCCAGAATAGTGTTTTACTTCTGGTATGAGGAGTGTGGCTGGGGGGAAGCACAAAACCCTGAGAGGTCAGTAATATTTTATTTCTTTACCTGGGTGATGATTACATGGGACATGTCTACTTTGTGAAAACTCAGGCAACTCTATACTTAAAATTTGTGTGTTGTGCTTCAAAAAATATATATAATATATAATAGATGAGGAAAAACACTTGTTAAAAGAATACATCAAATGTTCCTTTGTTTTTTTAAAAGATGCATCTCCATAGAAAAGGTTTTAATTTATTTATATACCAAAATGTTACATTTTGGTGGGTGGGATTGTTGATGATTTTGATTTTCTGCTTTGTACTTTTATTTCTTGGGGATGGGAGTAATGCAGAAAGAAACGCACAACATTGTAGAGGTGTAGTCCAAACCTTGAGTTTCTATACTATGTCTATACGGTATCTTGAAGTTGAACAGATTTGAATCAGGCTGGCAAGAGAGGCAAATGCTAGAGAAATGTCTCAGGTTCTCCTTAGTTACAATCACATGACATCAATCAGCAAAAGCTTCTGGATTTCATTGTCTGTGCAAGAGGTCATTGTTGAAGGCCCAGTATAGATTGCCTCTCTGCTGGTAAACATTTCTCTTTCTTGATGCACTGAAGTAGTGGGTTGAGTTCATATTGACGCTGAAACTTGAAGGTGATTCAGAAACTTGAGATGGGAACAGAACATTTTTTACATTATTCTCATGGCTCTTAAGGGATCTTAAAATTTGGTTCCTAAGGGAGAGACTGACAAATAAAGGAGATATTTATAACAGAACTTTTGACTGCTAAATCTCTATGCACATTGAAATCAATATCGTTTATTTTCCTTTCAAGTACATAGCTGCCTACTTTGTAGTTGGACCTTAGATATTAAATTAGTTGTGATTTAATGGGGAGGTTCATGAGCTTGGACTTCGATGTTTTCATTCAATTGGGAGATTTTTCTTAGTCATCCAGAAAAGGTCAAAATTTTGGCCTCGTGGTTAAATGTTTTGTCCCAAGCCAAGTCAATCCCACATGAATCAAACAGGTCTAACATGATTTTACTGGCCAAAATCCAGCCAGCCTCTGCTGCACCATCTCTTACCTCTAAAGCTTTGGATAATCCTTGTAGTGGTTCTGAGTGACTGGGACTGTCTAGCTAGCTCTGGATGCAGGGGTGCATAAGGAGTACAGGTCCTTTTGGCAGCTTCAATGGTTCCTCCATTGTCCTTGCCTGTTCTTTAATAATTATACATGGATTAAAAATTCAGGAAATCATTCCCTGTTAAAAATAAAGCTACATTCCATTTAAGCAGGAAGATTATTAGAAAGATTGTTCAGGAAAGCTTCTCTGGGTTAGTTAATAAAAATAGATAGGGAACCTTTTTTTTTCAATTTCCAAAATTAAAACATCAATGTAGAAAAAGAAATAGTCAAATAACTTTCCAAGAGTTTTTCTATATCACTTACATAAAGGGAATTACCTTTTCGGGGTACTTTTTTGTTTTGTCCTAATAGGCACTTTATTTACATTCTGTTATTGAATCATGACAGCAACCCAGTGAAATGAGTACTATATTATTGTCCCCATTTTACAAATGAGGAAACTGAGACACAGGATGCTTAAGAAACTTGTCCAAAACCATTCAACTAGTAAGTGACAGATCTGGGATTCCCATAAAGATTCTTATTATTATACAGACTAAATTCTTAATCATTCCAATATATTTCCCATATATATATGTGCTATCTAATAGTGCAAATATACCTTTCTTGATTCTTCTTTAAAACAATTCTGTAGGGAAGAGGTTAATATTGTATGTATTTGTAGATCTACTCTACCCTCTTAACCACCTCTGCCCAACTCAAGCATTTTCCTCTTTATAACCATTTCTTTCTTCTTTACCTTAACCTCAAGCTTTGAGTGGAAATCAGAAGTAGTACCTCACTACAAAGAAGTTGGGGACACTGTAGTGAGAGCAGTAGTCTCCACTAGGGGAGATTCCATCCACTATCCTCCACCCCCAGGCACATTTATCAGTCTGGGGACATTTTTGATGGTCACAACTTGGAGGGGAGGTTGCTCCTGGCACCTGCTAGGTAGAGGCCAGTCATGCTGCTGAACATACTACGGGCACAGTAATTCTTCTCAACAGAAGAGAACCAGCTGGCCCAAAACGTCAATAGTGTTGAGGTTGAGAAACTCTGACTTGGAGGGATAATATTAAATTGCCCAACAGGCCTTGTTAACTAAGCTTACCTAGGACAATCCCAGTTCTGTAACTGGGCTGCTATCTTGTAAATTCCAGCAGCTTTAATGTACTCAGGATGGTTCCTGTGGACAAAAAGAATTGTCTCAGATTATTGCCCAAACGTTTATAGGATTCTCATATAAATGGTTAATAATTTATTCAAAGAAACAAGAAACAGACACTGAAAAGCAAGCCACTCCTTGTAAAGGAAGAGGAGGGAGAGAGATGCTCTGAAAGAAGTTGATTCATACACTAGATTAGTTCTGACCTCATATTTAGTAACTTGTACCTTGATGTACAGATAGTCAAATTCTGCCTCCAGCTATTTGTGTGGAACGCTTAGACGTCAGCAAGAGTTACAATGAAGGTATCTGAGGATAAATATTCTCTCCCAATATTTTGTAAAATAAGAAAGTACACATCTACAGAGAGACTAACAGATAACATTAAAATTGGAGCCACTGGGTTTAAGTCATTCTGTCTTACAACAGCTTTAATGCCATCATATACTTTATATAGGTGTGTTGTGTTACTGCGTGGCTGTGCAATCACTTATTGATTAATTTTCAGAATATTCCTGGGGTAGTACTAGTTCATGGTAGAAGGTTTTTGGCTGCAAACAGAATCAAACATCATAAGAGATATTAGTGGGAAGATGAAAGTTACTGATCATAAGAGGTTATAGCTCTGTTTCAACTTACCTTTCAGAATGTCATGTGGTGAAGTAGAAAGAGCGCTAGCTGTGGGATCAGACAGACCTGGGTCTCATGCCTGGGTCCACCATTTTCCAGTGGTTGCAGTAGTGTTAGACTCCCTAAGCCTCAGTTTCCCCATCAGCAAAACAGCACATGGAGAACTTCACCCAAGAGCCTAGTGAAGATTAAATGAGAGGATTCACGTAAGGTGAGAAGCGCACACTCCCTGGCACGTTACCACTAGCAAGATGTTAGGCTTCTCCCATGTAACTTGCACAGGAACTGACCGAAGTTAACTAAAATTAACACAGAAAACATTACCTAATTACACTTGGCATTTACTTGGTGGCTTGTTTGGTCATCAGAAATCACACAAGGAGCCAGTAAGATTTTCACATGGACATTTGTCCTGTAATTTTTATTACATTCTGGTAAGATTTAGGATATGAGTGGAATTTTTAGAGAAATGTAACTAAGAGATATCAGATAACAGGACTACTAATTTGACTTCATGGTCATATCAAAAAGTCATTTTCCATAAAGATCTATAGAAATCCATAGAGAGTCTTTCTGATTATAGTTAGGAAACTGCAGTCAATGTTGGATGCAAATAATAGGTAAGAAAGACCCTTGCATATCTGGGACTGGGTCAGGGTTCCCAAAGCACACTGAAAACACTGGCCCCTAATTGTCATGTGCCAAGAATTGCCAAGGTTCTCTGACATAGGAGGTAGTGTGAATTGTTACAATTTTGGATGGTAATCTAGAAATATGTCTTAAACATAAAGCAAGCATTCCTTTTGACTTCTAATCACACTTTTAGGAATCTATCTTGAGGAAATACTCCTTAACAATATGCAGACATGGATAGTTATCTAAACATTGTTTATAGCAATGAAAACTTGAAAAATTGTAAATCACCAAGAATAGTTCAAATAAATTGTCATGCCCATGTGAAAGGATGCTATGAGGCCATTTAAAAAATGTCGACTTAGAAAATGCTCAAAATATAATACTAGGTGCAAAAAAAGGGGATCTAAACTTTTTTTACAACATAAAACTGATTTTGTTTACATATGCGTACATATATACATATAAATACATTTACACAGACATAAAGTATATGTCTGAACAGTAGTGGTTACATCTGGGTAGAGGTATTATGGATGGTTTTTGTTCTTACTTTAAACTTCTTATTTTGTGATTTTTTAAAACAAAAATATTGCTTTTCTACTCAAGAGGTAAAATAAATACTATATGCTGTATAATTTTGGAGTACCTAAAGAAGGTGCAGTTTTACCTCAGCCCTGAGGGGCAGGACTGCTGGTCTGTCAGGAAAGAAGAGGGCCAAATGACTGAGCTGTCCAGCCTTGGAGAAAAATCTAGAGCAACAGCCTCGTAAGGGCCTAATTAACAAGTAAGCTGTGTCTAGCTAATTTAAATAATAAGCCTGTGTACCTGCAATTTACCTAATCTGTGTATAGTTTATCCCTCGAAATTGCCACGCTCTGTCAGTAGTTTTTCACTCCGACTGGCTCGCTGAGCACGTGTGAGTACTAGACGCGGTGCAGAGGAGGGTGGCGAGGGGGAAGGCAGGAGGAAAGCCTGTGGGCCATAGGGCATGGAGTTCAGACAAGAACCGCCCACCCCTCTGCTACCTAGGCATTACCTCGGATGATGTCAGCAGAAAGTTAGCCAGCAGGGAACTGCCTGTCTGAGGCTAGTAGCCCTATTTCTTAATACTCCCAATTACTGCCAAATTGAGAGGAAGTATAGTAGACAATGTCAAAGTCGCTAGATTCCATGCCCTTCATTTTTGGTTTAAATTTTAGACCACCTTTAAGGGCAGGAAGCAGACTAGAGGTTTAGCCTAGAATTCAAAGAGATTTCCAGGCTTCGAGCTACATACACCACTCTCTTTCCTCCCTGGGACATCAGAAAGCAGAGAACCATCTGAATTGAACTCTTTTTTTGCTTTTTTTTTCCTGTTGTTATTTGCATGGACAGTCATACTGGGCCAAGAGCATTAAGATAAGGGAGTGATTTGCAGGATTAATCCAGGAATGGGCTCGGTGTACCTGGGCATAATCCATAAATACCTGCTGATACGTTGCTCAATTATCTTGAATTTATTGTCACTTCCATTTCTCTGTCCCCTTTCTTTCTTTCTTTTTTTTTTTTTGTTGCCTGTGTAGAAAGGATGAGAAGATAGATTTTTAAAAAGACTCAGAAAGTACAGTTTTTGTCTGGTTATAAAAATATACATGATAATTGGGGATATAAATTATTGATCTCACTACTGAGAAACCCCTCCCTAATATTTTAGCATAATTTCTTCCAGAGTTTTTCCAGTCTATTTGGGTACATGTTTACATTTTTATATGTCATTATTCTACAACGGAAATTTTCTTGGTTGAATAATATAAAATTTACTTAAACATTCAAAAATTTTTAGTTATTCAGTGAGTTACCAGTTGTTCCCAATTATGCTAAATTTTTATTCATATCTCTGTTTCTTTAGCCTACATTCCTAGCATTAAGAAATATCAGGTCAAAGATTATGAACATTTTTCAAATTTTTGACACAGGTTGCCAAACTGTCCACGAGAAATAATACAAATATTATAATAAATTTGATTCTGATGACAGCAAAAGAAATAAAAATGAATACTACTTTGGTCATTCATCAGCCTCATCTCATGAGCTGAGACTGTGGATCTGCCCTTGTCTCCCTTGGTATAGCCTTAGACAGAATGAGGATGTTGGGTGAAGACTGGGTACAAAACAAAATTTGAAATATTTCTAGAGGCACTTTGGGAAATGCTCAAGTGATTCTGTCCTTGATGATAACTTGATGATAAGAGGCTCTCTCTTACCTTACCTACAGGGTGGAATCCAGATTCAAGCATCTCTATCCTCAGGCTCCTCAAGTAACAAATATTTATTGAGCCTGCTATGCTACAGGCGTCCTTCAAGGCCTTGGGGATACAGTGGTGAACAAGACAAGGTCCCTTCATGAACCTGACAGTCTGGTCATCCCACTGCACTGAGCCAACCATTTCTTCTACTCCCTCTCCCCAACACAAAATTGTTTGCTTTAGTCAGATGTATATTAAGCCGCTTTATGCTTATTCTTGCCTGATTAGTTATCTTGTCCCATAAACCCTAATCCTTTCAGTCAAGGCTTATCCTAAGTCTCCTGCGACACTCTCCCCAGCGAGTCCAATCATCCAAGCACTTAAATCTGGACTCACCACTTAGCACTCGATTATTCATTGTCTTGTTCAACTCTCTAACACCGTCCTGAGGAAGACGGCAAGGTCTTTACGCACCGCTTCCCCAAAGCACCTCGTGTGGTGTGTGCACCAGGTAGTCCTTTCTTTTCCAGAACTTTGCTTTAATATAGTAGGATGAGACTCTGAAGAAGGCTTCTCTGTTTTGCACCAACCCTGTCCAAGGAGATTTCATTCCCGAGATCCCAAATGTCTTCATGTCAGCTTAGGTGCAAGGGTAAGGCAGAGTCCCTGAAGTGAGGGTTAGAGTGGGGCTCCAGCAAAGAGCACAGTCCTGGGAAGCTGGGAAGCAGACTTCGTTCCTGGCTCTGCCAGTCACATAGGTTCCTTTGAAAACCCAATATCTTGGAAGAATCCATGAGTTTTAGATTCTTATGTAAAATGGGGTCAATAATACATTTGCTACCCCTTTCATAGTATTACTGTGAGAATCATATGAGAAGTTATATATAAGAAGTTATATATGTGAAGTGTTACAGTTTTTCTCTTTTAAAAAAGACTATTTTTATTGAGACACACTTGACATATAACACCATGTTAGTTTCAGGTGTGCAATATAATGATTTGATACTTGTGTATATTATAAAATGATCATAACAAGAAGTTGCAGGGTTTGGCAAAAAGAAGACACTGGCATGTCATTTTTTGTTTTAACTTCTGCTTCTCTAATGGAACATCTGATCTGTCGCTTATGACTCTTTGAGCAGCAGGAGGAGATGACAGAAGAGATGTCAGTGGAACAGCCTGACCTCCCAATGTCAGTGGAACAGCCTGACCTTCCCCATTGGTCAAGTGGATGCCAACAAAGGTAGCCAGGTTTGAGTCATCTTGCCAGTATGCTACAAAGTTGGCTGCCTGTTGATGAAGGTGTTCCTGACAGCCAGAGGTTCTGAGGTGTACTGCGGAGGCCAGCTTGGAAGAAGTTGCATTTGGGTGTCAGAGACTAGTGCAAAGAGGAGCCACACGGCCATACAGTTCCAGATGACTTCACATGCACCCATAATTTGACTGCCTGCTCTGAACAGGTCATTGATGACCAGTAATTCGTAGTCAGGGAGACAGCGACAGCTGAATGTATTTTTTTTTTTACCAGGAGCTCTTCCGATCTTCAATCCTGCAGAGAAGAAAGACTCTGAAAACAGAGAGGGGAAATAAAAGACCCTGTTGTATTTCTTCACCACTCCAAGTCCCTTGAGCAGAAGTCTGGCTATTACTGAGGGGAGAAAGATAATGAACAGCAAATAGGCAATGAATTGAAATTTTAAAATGGGTCAGACTAAGTTGGACTTTTAATATGAAAAAGTAATCCCCAAGCTAGGGATATGCCTGAAATGTTGGTTTGTCTTTTTTCCCTCATATGTCCTTTACTTTTTTAAAGTTGTGTTATGATTGACATGTAACATTATATTAGTTTCAGGTGTGCAATATAATGATCCAATATTTGGATATATTGCAAAATGAACACCACAATAAGTCTAGTTAACATCTGTTACCTTATACAGTTCCCAATTTTTTTCTTGTGATGAGAACTTTTAAGATGTAATCTCTTAGCTACTTTCAAATGTACAATACAGTATTATTAAGTATAGTCCTCATGCTGTACATCACATCCCCATGACTTACTCATTTTATAGCTGGATATTTGTACCTTTTAACCACATGTTTTGCTCAGTTTCCCCACCCCCTGCCTCTAGCAACCACCAATCTATTCTCTGTATCTATGAACTTTTTTTGCTTGTTTTCTTGCTTGTTTTTGCTTTAGATTTCTCATGTAAGTGATATTATATGGTATTTGTCTTTCTCTGTCTGACTTATTTCACTTAGCATAGTACCCTCAAGGCCCATCCATATTGTTGCAAATGGCAAGATTTCATTCTTTTTTTTTTTTACTGAAATATATATCTCACATACTCTTTATCCATTCATCCATTGATGGACACATAGGTTGTTTCCATAGCTTGGCTATTGAAGATAATGCTGCAGTGAACATAGGGGTGCATATATCTTTTCAAGTTAATATATTTTTGGATTCTTTGAATCAATACCCAGAAGTAGAATTGCTGGATCAGATCGTAGTTCTATTTTTAATTTTTTGAGGAATGGCCAATGCTGTTTTCCATACAGGATGCACCAATTTACAGTCCCACCAACAGTGCACAAGGGTTCCCTTTTCTCCATATCCTCACCAGCACTTGTTATTTCTTGTCTTTTTGATAATATAGTCTAATAGGTGTGACGTGATATCTCATTGTGGTTTTGATTTGCATTTTCCTGATAACGATGTTGAGCATCTCTTCATGTATCTGTTCACTCTCTGCATGTCATCTTTGGAAAAAATGTCTGTTCAGATCTTTTGCCCATTTTTAATTGGATTGTTTGCTTTTTTTTAACTTTTGAGTTATATGAGTTCTTCATATATTTTAGATATTAACCCCTTACATGATTTGCAAATATTTTCTCCCATTCAGTAGGTTGCTTTTTATTTTGCTGATGGTTTCCTTTACTGTGCAGAAACTTTCTGGTATGACATAGTCCCACTTGTTTAATTTTGCTTTTGTTGCCTTTGTTTTTGGTGTCAGATCAGAAAAAAAAATCACCATGACTGATGTCAAGGAGATTATCACTTATGTTCTCTTCAGGGAATTTTGTGGTTTTAGATCTTATATTCAAATTTTTAATCCATTTTGAGTTAATTTTGGTGTATGATGTAAGACAGTGGTCAATTTTCATTCTTTTGCATGTGGCTGTCCAGTTTTCCCAACACCATTATTGAAAAAATTGTCTTTTCCTCGTTGTATATTCTTGGCTACTTTGCTGTAAATTAATTGACCATATATGCATGGATTTATTTCTGGGTTATCTATTCTGTTCCATTGATCTATCTGTCTGTTTTTATGCCAATACCATATTGTTCTAATTTCTATAGCTTTGTAATATAGTTTGAAATAAGGGCATGTGATGCTTCCAGTTTTGTTATTCTTTCTCAAGGTTACTTTGTCTATTTGGGGTCTTTTGTGGTTCCATATAAATTTTAAGATTCTTTGTTCTAGTTCTGTAAAAAAAAAGCCATTGGAATTTTGATAGGGATCGCACTGAATCTGTAGATTGTGTTGGGTAATGTGTACATTTAACAATATACTTTCTTCCAATCTAAGAGCACAGAATATCTTTCCATTTATTTGTGTCTTTTTCAATTTCTTTCATGAATGTTTTATAGTTTTCAGTGTGCAGATCTTTCACCTCTTTGGTAAATCTATTCCTAGGTATTTTATTGTTTTTGATGCAATTGTAAATGGGATTGTTTTCTTTATTTCTATTCCTGATATGTCATTATTAGTGCATAGAAACGGCACAGATTTCTGCATATTGATTTTGTATCCTGCAACTTTACTGAATTCATTTATTAGTTCTAACAATTTTGGGTGGAGTCTTTCTAGTTTTTACTATATAATATTATGTCATTCACAAATAGTGACAGTTTTACTCCTGAGGCATTTTTAAGAGTCAGGACATGGAGATTCAACACATTGTGGTTAAAGGCAGTAATTAGAAAAAGTTACATGTGCACCCACCATGGTTCAATAAACTGAATATCAATATAAGTATGTTCTTTATTTCCCAAAGGACATTTTAGTCACAATAGGTAATAGGATTTAACACTTATATCATGGAATGTTGCCCTTTTTTCCCCTAGCTCCATAGATTTTTTTTTTGCACCAAGAAGTTATGAGAGAGCAATGTGAGTGTTTTTCATAATTAGAAAAAAATTGATCTAATACACATTGCACCTGTTTCACTTGGCATACCACATTGGGATGAGCAACTCAATTTGGTAAAATGATGTAATAGAAAGATATTACATAGGAGGCTCTGCTTTAATTTTTCCTGCATTTTCAATAATATTTCCCAGTAAGTCTTAATCATATGGCTCCTTTCATTTCTAGACACAAAAGGTCTAAACAGATGAGTCAGTCTGTAACCCACACTGAGGCATTAGCTTGTGTTCTGTAATTACGAGACAGGTGTATCACCACTCCTAAGCCTGAGAACAACAGTATCCCAATAACACAGGGTCATGGGCAGCCTGAAGTCCTGGCCACAGTGACTGGTTGCTGCACTCCACTGATGTTAATAGCTATAAGAGCACCGATTATAGAGCTGGACTCCGTTTTGTTTACAAGCCCGCCCTCCCATGGGTATTGGCAGAAGTCTTGGTACTGGTTTTATAAACTAATCTCTGGTTGTAGGAAGCTCATGGAACTGATCCAATTGGCTTATTCACTGAACTACCCCTCCTTTCTTCAGCAGTCTCCCCA